GATTTTTTTCTCCATTGTATTGTCTTTGCAACTTTGTAAAAAAAAAAAAAAATCAACTGGCCATATCTACGTATGTCTATTTTGGAACACTCTACTCTGTTCCGTTGACCTGTGTCTTTGTCTGTGTCCAGTTCTTCACTAAAAACTTTATATTAATCATGAAAACAGGGAGGGTGGGAAATCCTCAAATGATTTTGTGGGGGGTTTTCCCAAAATTGTTTGGCTATTCCAGTATTTCTTTCTTTGGGGGCTATTTTAAGTAGCATTGTGTTTTAAATCTTGATTTTCAATATTTTATTTTATTTTAGAATATATAAATACTGCAGGCCCAGGGCATAAAATTTATGCATGGGTGGGGAGGGGGTGTGTCCCTCAGCCCAGCCTGCACCCTCTCCAATCTGGGACCCCTCAAAGGATGTCCAACTGCCCTCTCACAATCCAGGACTGCTGGATCCCAACTGCTCACCTGCCTGTCTGCTGGATTTCCCCTAACCACTTCTGCCTGCCAACCTGATCACCCCTAATCACTCCCCTGCCAGCCTGATCGATGCCCAGCTGCTCCCCTACCAGCTTGATTGCCCCTAACTGCCCTCCCCTGCAGGCCTGGTCCCTCCCTACTGCCCTTCCCTGCTGGTCATCTTGTGGTGGCCATCTTGTGTCCGCATGGGGGCAGCCATCTTTAACCACATGGAGGCAGCCATCTTGTGGGTTGGAGTGATAGTCAATTTGCATATTACTCTTTTATTAGGTAAGATGACTAATGTTGTGTGCTGACATTTGTTCTTTGGCCTGCCACAGTTTCCAATATTGTGTTGAATTGTTGCATAAGAGTGGCCTCTTCCTAGTGGTTTAGGGGAAACATCCAGTCTTTTCTATTAATGTTAGCTGTGATGTTTTTTGGTAAATGTCAAAAAAGTTCCCTTATATTCCTAATTTGCCAAGTTTTTAAAATCATGAATGAGTGTTAAAAATTGTCAAATGCCTTTAATGCATCAATTGATAGGATCGCATGGGCTTTCTCTTTTAGGCTCTACTGTAATATGGTAGATTATATATTTTGACATCTGAATATTGAACTGGTCTTGCATCCCTGGGATAAACTCCTTATTCTTTTTCTGTTTTGATGAGAATTTTTTCATGTATGTCCATAAGATATTGATCTTTTTTTGGTCCTGTCTCTGTCTGGTTTGAGTATCAGGAGAATGCTGGGTTCAGACACTGAGCTGGGAAGTATTTCCTCCTCTTTCATTTTCTGGGCCCACGGCTTATTTTAAAATGTGCTGTTTAATATCCAAGTATTTGAAGATTTCCTGGTTACCTTTATGTAACTGGTTTCAAGTTTAATTTCATTATAATCAACAAACCTACTTTGCGTAATCTCCATTATTTTAAATGTGTTTAGGTTTGTTTGATGGTCTATGCCCTTGCTGGTTTTCTACCTGCTTATTCTATCAATTATGAAGAGAATACTGTGAAAACCAGCCTTTAGTTTTACTAGTTTTACCATCGCGTATTCTGAATCCCTGTCGGTAGTGCATACCTACTTGGGATTGTTATATCTCATTCATTAACTGGCCCTTTCATCATTATGTAATTTCCCTGCTTATTCCTGGTAATTTTCCTTGCTCTGGAATCTATTTGTCTCATTTTCATCTGAAACCATTTCAGCTTTCTTTTCATTAGTGTTTGTCTAGTATATGTTTTCTGTTCTTTTGTTCTGAACCTACCTGTAACATTTCAAAGTGAATTTATTGTAAATAGTATAAAGTTGGTTCAGGTTTTATCTTTTCATTGATGTTGACAATCACTGTCTTTTAATTGGTGTTTAGATGTTTAATGCAATTATTGATATTTAGGTGTATCATTTTATTATTTTTTCTTGTTTTTTTTGTTTTGTTTTGTTTTGTTTTTTTCTTTCTGGTGTTTTTCCCCACAGACTGGGGTGGGGGGGAAGCAATAAGGATTCTCCCAGTGCCCTTGGGACATGGTTCCTCAGTCCAAGAGATGGCCCCTTCCTCCTGACTTAGGGACCTGCATGGCCCCCACAGCCATCACTGCTGTGGCTGCTGCTGCTGCTGCTGTGCAGGATTCCTAGGGGCGATAGCAGGAGGACAGGAAAAAGAAAGAAGGAATCTCCCCCCCCCCCCCCCCCCCATTCCTCCAATCCTTAGGGGATCCTTTTCTGCTTGTTGGGCCAGAAAAAGAAAGCTTTTCTCCTAGATCTTTCTGTCCGCCCTCAGTGTGCAGTTCAGGCTGCCTCTGTGTCCAGGCCAAGGTGCAATGAGGGGAGGGAGAGGGGAGAGAGCAGAAAGCTCGCTGCCAGTTGCTCTCCCTTCCAGGACCCGCTCCTTCCCCGCTCTGCTTGCTGTATTTGCTTTGCAGAGTCCTCAGAGCACTGTTGGCTGCTGGAGCACAGTGTCCAGAGCTTCCAGCTCACTCAGTGGGGGAGTCACAGGGGACTGTTCTTGCTCCATCTTCACCAGATCTAGAACCTCCAACATCACATTTTGATGTTTAGCTTTTCCTGACTTTTTCAGTGCATATGTGCAGAGTTAGAAATATGCTTTTGAAATCTAATGTGTTCAAAGGGTGCCCATTGTTTTGTTACCAACTCTTTAAAATGAACACTTAAAAATCTTTTCAATTCAATAAATATAGACGTACATCATCGTGTTTATGCCTGCGTAGTATTCCGGTGTACTGGTTACTCTAATTTGCTTCATCGATATTCTCTAGTCGGGCCTTTAAGTTTCTCCTGGTTCTCTCTCACCACAAACAGTGTTTTCACGAGCATTGCTGCACACACGCCTGATTCACTTAGCATACATTTCTAAAAGTGGAATTTCTTGGACAAAAAGTGAGCACATTTTGATGTTTTCATCTTTTCTAATCTTTGCCAAAGTCATATCACATTTTAATTTTCATTCCTATGATTATATCAATAGGCTAAGGTTGCTACGAGTCCATTATCATTTTAATACATTAAATTCAACTAGTTGATATTTAGTTAGAATTTGTACATATATATTTATGAGTAAAATATACATACCATAAAATTTACCATTTGAACCATTTTAAAGTGTATAGTTCAGTGACATTAAGTAAATACCAATGTGTAATCCACACCACTACCCATTCCTAGAATTTCTTCATCATCCCCAGAAGAAACTCATTCAACACCAGCTCCTCATCCCTCCCTCCCCCAAGCCCCTAGGCACCTCCGTTATACTTTCTGTCTCTGTGAATTCGCCTTTTCTTAGTGCCTCACGAAAGTGCAATCATAATATTTGTCATTTTGACTTATTTGAATTAGCATGTTTCCGAGGTTGATTTAAATAGCAGCATGGTTTCATTCTTTTGAAAGGCTAGATAGTTTTTCATTATATGTATACACCCATTTTGTTTATTCATCATCTGTTGAGGGGCATTTGTGGTGTTTCCATCTTTGAGCATTTTGAAGGATGCTGCTGTGCAAGTATCGGTGGGAGTCCTCATTTTCAATTCTTTGGGGGATTTACCCAGGAGTGGAGTTGCTGGGCCATCTGATGACTCTGTGGAACTCTTTGAGGACTGCCAGACAGCTGTCCACAACAGCTGCACCATTTTAAATGCCAACCACCAGTGCCCCGGGGCGCCAATCTCCCCGGTCCTCGCCAACACTGGTTACTTCCTATTGCTTTTCTTTTTAAAATACGTATCCCGATGGGTTTGAAGTGCTTCATCTATTTTTAAAACTATCTTTATGAGATTTTGGTGTCAAGGATAAGCTGGCTTTTTTTTTTTTAAGAGAAACCTTTCTTTCTTTTGCTGTGTTTGGGGACAGTTTAAGTAACGGAGAAAATGACTTTAGTTTGCAGCAGTGAGAGAATTTATCACAGGAACCTTCTGAGCCACATTTTAGGAGCTGGTTCCTTTCTCTGTTTCCTCAGTGGTTACTCACCAAAGCAGATTTACCAACTCTTTTAGAGACTTTTGAATCAATTTTATTTTCTAGAAAACTATGTCTGATGTAGGATTCAGATTTTCTTTTTCCTTTGTTCTTTTTTTTTTCTTTTTCCTTTTTTGCTACAAATATACTGTATATGTCTAGTGTTGCCGGCATGGCTCAGTGGTTGAGCGTTGACCCATGAACCAGAAGGTCACGGTTCGATGCCCGGTCAGGGCACATGCCCAGGTTGCAGACTCGATCCCCAGTGTGAGGTGTGCAGAAGGCAGCCGATCAATGATTCTCTCTTATTATTGACATTTCTCTCTTTCTCCCTCTCCCTTCCTCTCTGAGGTCAATAAAAATATATTTTTAAAAACACAAATATATATGTGTGTGAGTGTGTGTGTATTTTTTAAAAACGTATATTTTATTAATTTTTTACAGAGAGGAAGGGAGAGAGATAGAAAGATAGAAACGTCGATGAGAGAGAAACATCGACCAGCTGCCTCTTGCACATCCCCCACCGGGGATGTGCCCGCAACCAACGTACATGCCCCTGACGGGAATCGAACCTGGGACTCTTCAGTCCGCAGACTGGCGCTCTACCACTGAGCCAAACCGGTTTCAGCTGTGTGTGTATTTTTGTTGTTTCTAATATTGTCTCTTGGTTTTCTCTCTCTTTGGAAGTCCCTCCCCTCCAGTGCAGCAGCCTGGGCTCATGATGGGGCATGGGCCCTGAAGCCAGATGGTCCAAGTCCAGTGCTCATCCTGCTACTCACTGGCTATTTGACCTGGAAGAGTTATTGGAGCTCTCTATGTTTCAATTTCCCCATTTGTACTTTGGGAGAAAATAGTATCTACAACATAAGGTTAATATTAATATCAAAGAGCTGACCCTTTTTAGGTGCTTAGGGGAGCGCCTGCCACACAGCAAGCACCATAGCCGTGTTCCTTCCATAAACCTAGACTGCCCCGCCGTGTGCTGGAAGCCCAGGTCCCTGGAGCCTCTCCATCCCCAAGCACACTTTCTGCACCTTCCCACCCCTCACACTCACTGCCTCTTGTTTTGCAGAACCATCTCTGTGCAGAAAAAACCAAACCACTTTACTTTCCATTCTGCTGCCCGAGACAACCACATCCTCCTCACACGCCGGCTCCCATGGAGAGCTCAGGTCAGTATGCCGGGGAGAGGGGTCTAGTGCGCCCGGTGTATCATGGGAAAGACCTTCTTGCAGGTGAGGCTGTCCAGGGCTGTGAGAGCCCAACCCTGCCGCCGGAATGTGAGAACAACCACATTCAGACATTCACACCCTGTCATTGGCCTCAACTGTGTATAGGGTCACTGAGCTGGACACTGGGAAAAAGGACAGTAATAGGCAAGATTTATTACCAAAACCTTGCTTTTATTGAACAAAACCTTTCATAGAGCTTACAATATATCAAGTACTAGTGAAAGCACAACAAATATGATTTCATTTAGTCATTAGAAAGATAGATATTGCCGAAACCGGTTTGGCTCAATGGATAGAGCGTTGGCTTGGGAACTGAAAGGTCCCGGGTTCGATTCCAGTCAAGGGCATGTACCTTGGTTGCGGGCATATCCCCAGTAGGGGGTGTGCAAGAGGCAGCTGATCGATAACTCTCATCGATGTTTCTAACTCTCTATCTCTCTCCCTTCCTCTCTGTACAAAATCAATAAAATATATTTTAAAAAAAGAAAAGAAAGATAGATATTATTCTTACTCCCATTTTACAGATGGATGAAGTGAGACACAGGGAAGACGGAGGTTGTTCCCACAGTCACAGATACCTTGTGGTGAGATCAGGATTTGACCCAGTGGTCTGGCTCCAGCATCCTGCTCTTAGCGATTTCACTGTGGGTGGCCTCATGCAAATGTCAGGTGTTTCTGCGAGGTAGGAATATCAGTGTGATTTTCCTTATTTTACTGGAAACAAAACTGAGGCTCAGAGAGGTTAGGGCCGTGGTCGGCAAACTATGGCTCGCAAACCACATGTGGCTCTTTGGCCCCTTGCGTGTGGCTCTTCCACAAAATACCACGGCCTGGGCGAGTCTATTTTGAAGAAGTGGCGTTAGAAGAAGTTTAAAAAATGTGGCTCTCCAAAGAAATGTCAATCGTTGTCCTGTTGACATTTGGCTCTGTTGACTAATGCGTTTGCCGGCCACTGGTAGGGAATTTGCTCAAAGCCACAGAGCTAGTAAGTGGCAGAGTCAGGATTGCAACCCAGATTTGCCTGATTCCAGAACCTAGATTCGTTTCCTTATGAGAGCAAGGAGCGATGGCTCCTCCTCGGAAGTGTGTGCTAGCCAGTGGTTACCCAGCTCGTCAGAGCACTCCGCAGGCCTCCCCGCACAGACTCCAGTGCCCTGGAGGACCCCTGTCCTGGGAAGGTGAGGGGACACCCCAGGGAAGCACAGCTACCAGACCGTCATTATTCCTAAGACATGCACACTGGCCATCCCCCTCACCGCCAGGGAGCGGCGCCAGGCAGAAGACCCAGCTGAGCCCTAGGTGGTTTGGCTCAGAGGGCGGAGCGTCGGCCTGCTGAATCAAAGATTCCAAATTTGATTCCAGTCAAGGGCACATGCAGGCTCGATCCCCAGTGTGGGGCATTCAGGAGGCAGCCGATCAATGATTCCCTCTCATCGTGGATGTTTCTGCCTCTCTCTTCCTCTCCCTGAAATAAATAAACATATATTTTAAAAATAAAATAGAAGTTAATCAGTAGGCCCCGCCCTCAGAGAAGTGGTTTTGGTTTTGGGGGGGACTATGCATGGGTATTTTCTTGGAAAGCTTTCCAGGTGATTCTAATGTACATCAGGATTGGGGACTAGGAGAAAGCAAACAAAGCTAGGAGGGGTGTGGTAAGACACTTGACTCATCTGGGATTGAAGGACAATGGAGAGCTGGCATGGCTAAGACCTGGGACAGCTTTGAAGGGTCTCAAATGGAGGTCCAGACCCTGAACTCTAGGGGTCCTACCGTGGTCAGGACCCTTTCAGCCTTCCTTCTCCTTCTCTCCGTTCTCTCTCTCCTTCTCTCTCTCCGCTATCACACTGGCCTGGGTCTGGGAGTCTGGCTGGTGGGAAAGAATGTGGTCTCTCTTCCACGGGGGCTGCAGGCCCCTTGGCCAGGCCTCCACGGTCCACAGGGAGAAAGGGGTTCCCTTGGGGACAGTGCTCCGGCAAAGGTGGCACAGGAGGGCATGGCAATGGCATTCAAGGGCACAGAGTTTAGTGCTTTGCTGCTCTCATCAGAGATCCTTGCCAGCACCAGTAAGCTATGTCCAGCTCGCCTTGGTCTCCCTCATCCCCTGGGTCCCCACAACCCGTGTGCCCTGGAACCCTCGGGGAATCCAACCGCACGTCTTGGGTTGCCACTTTCCCCTTTAATTAAAGGCTGCAGGCTCCCTCCCCACGCCTTTAAGACAATCTGATTGATTGTCTCGGTCACATGACCAGGGTCTCAAACTCCTGGGCTCGGGGAGGATAGAGATGAGTGAAAGGAGGGGAGTGGGAACTGGGAGGAACCAGAACCTGTGCTTCCCCTCACGGGACAGCTGTGGAAGGATCAGCAGACGTCCAAGCGATGCCCGCCCTCTACCCCCGCCCCCCTGCAATGCAGAGCCTCCCCGTTTGTGCATGTTGGCAGCCCATTCAGGTGTTTTTGAGCTCTGCAAGCCCACACAAAACACATCTGCAGCCACGTGTGGACCGAAGCCTGGGAGTGCCCAGACTTTTGAAAACAAAGTTTATTTGGGGGCTGTCTCCCAGGGCTACGGGCAACTTCTCTATTTTTCTCTGAAAATGAAAACGTAACTCCCTTTGCAAAGCAGGGGAAGCTAACCTCTGCTCGGAAGATAAAGGCTCCTCTGCCCTCTAGCGAGGAGGCCGGGAGGAAGTCACCATCAGCTGTAAGCCTGTGTGTGCAGGGCGGGTGGGGAGGGGGGGAGGGAAGAGAGGAAGAAAGAGTGAAAGGAGGGAGGGAGGCCAAACCGGTTTGGCTCAGTGGATAGAGCGTTGGCTGCAGATTGAGGGGTCCCAGGTTTGATTCCGGTCAAGGGCATATACCCACTGGGGATGTGCAAGAGGCAGCTGATCCGTGATTCCCTCTCATTGATGTTTCTGGCTTTCTATCCCTCTCTCTTCCTCTCTGTAAAAAATCAATAAAACAAATTTTTTTAAAGAAAGAAAGAAAGAAAGAAAGAAAGAAAGAAAGAAAGGAGGGAAGGAGACTTAACATCAATTATTTTTTTAAATATATTTTATTGATTTTTTACAGAGAGGAAGGGGGAGGGATCAAGAGTTAGAAACATCGATGAGAGAGAATCATCCATCAGTTGCCTCTTGCACACCCCCTACTGGGGATGTGCCCGAAACCAAGGCACATGCCCTTGACTGGAATCGAACCTGGGACTTTTCAGTCCGCAGGCCGACACTCTATCCACTGAGCCAAACCGGTTTCGGCAACATCAATTCTTTTTTAATAATTCACCCTGCAACCAGTCTTCATGCAAGGTGGAGAAGGGTAGACGAAAGAGCAGCTGTGGCCAGCCTCGGGCCAGGCTGAACTATCTCCTGGCCAGTGGCTGGGCGGGCAAACATGGGCAGGAACAGCTCGCTGCCCGCTCCCAGCCTGAAGCAGGCTTAGCATTGGGCCTCGGTGTGGTCTGGGGTCAAGGCGAAGGTTTCAGAGCGGCCAGTGGCCCTGGCAGACTCTGTGCCAGAGCCCTGCTTCGGGGGAGCCAGTCTGTGAGCATCAGGGCAGGGGCACACTTCGATCCCCGGACGGCAACCTGCTGGTTTCTAGAACTTGCCATCTCCATCCTATCTGTTCCCGAGGCAGCCGAGGCAACTCACAGATGTAAGTAGGACATAAAGCAGAAGCACCGGAGAGGGACAGGACAGAGGTCCCATCCCTGGGGATGAGCTGAGGCCTGAGGCTGGGCCCCAGTTTGGCTGTAAGTTTCCTGGCGGCTGAGGAACCGCCTGAGGCCTGTGGCTGCTGTCTTCTGACACCCAGAGAAAGCGTGCTTGCCCACAAAGACAAACTCCGATTGGCATGCATCATAAAGGGGACTGATGTGCCGGGAGCGTCTCCCGTCCTTCCTTTGCTCGTCGGATCCCCCAAGAAGCACACACCGAGGCAGGAGTGGGCACGCAGGGGCGTATGCGGGGAGACACCGTGGGCGGACCCCGGAGAGGGCGCTGGGGACGCCGAGGAGCAAGCTGTCGGGCGCTGATGCAGATCTGACTCTGGAGGAAGGAGGAGGATGGAGGGGAGGGGGGAAATGTCTCAGACGGGAAGGCTCCCCCCACAGGGCGGCTGGGGAACCCTAAGCCAAAGTCAGCCGCCAGAGAAGGCTTGCGTCTCCAGGACCAGCCTGCTTTGGCGTCCCTGCTACCCTCAGCGTGGGCCGGGTGACACGGCCTTGGCACAAACCAACAGAGTTCCCAGCCCCGCCACACCAAGCCCCCCCGCCCTGGTCGGTGGACCGTCTCATAGCGGGACCCGCCGAGCTGTGCTCACAGCCGCCACGCTCCCAACATCAGTTACTTATCTCTGTGCCGCCTTCCCCGTCTTGCCATGTCAACGCACCGCTAGGAAAGAAAGAACGACTCTGCCGAAACCGGTTTGGCTCAGTGGATAGAGTGTCAGTCTGTGGACCGAAAGGCCCCAGGTTTGATTCCCATCAAGGGCATGTACCTTGGTTGCGGGCACATCCCCAGTGGGGGGTGTGCAAGAGGCAGCTGATCGATGATTCTCTCTCATCGATGTTTCTAACTCTCTATCCCTCTCTCTTCCTCTCTGTAAGAAATCAATAAAATATATTTAAGAAAGAAAGAAAGAAAGAAAGAAAGAAAGAAAGAAAGAAAGAAAGAAAGAAAAGAAAGAAAAAGAAAGGAAGGACGGACTCTGGCCCTCATTAAAGCACCAAGGAACACTCTACGCAAGACTCCTGCTACAGAAGAGTCCTCAGCCCCACTCCCAGGGAGGCAGAGGAGGCTGGGGAGGGCCAGCCCTCGCACAGGGAGGGCCTCGGACAGAGAATTGCTAAGAAGAGGCCTCAGGCTGGGGGGATTCTTATCCAACTGGCCTGACAGGGTTCCCGCTAGAGGCAGGTCAAGGACTTAGACATCAGAAGCGGAGACAGCGAACTATTAATAGCTCAGACATCAGGCACATCAGGTGGGGGATTCTCCGCACACTGAGCGCGGGATTCCTGCTGAAACCGCTCGGCAGGCCGGGGCCCAGGCCGGCCCGGAGGAGAAGAGGGCTCGGGAGAGCCTCAGTGAGGTCTGGCCGCGCAGAGAGGCCTCTTCCTGGTGTTACCCGATGTGTGTCTGTGAATGATTGAACGTTGGCTCCGTGCGTTCGCTGAGGAACTGGATACATATTTCCCACTGCGCATCAGAATGATCACGGTTATCAAACATTAGGGTCGTCGGTGTGCCGTCTGAAAGGTCTCGTGTGCCACCGCGGCACCCACGCCAGTTTTGCAGGAAGCACAGGAGCGCGGTGTGAGAGGCTGGGCCCCGCCCGGCCCGGCGCCGCCTGCCGGCTCCGGCTGACACTCCCAGCACCTCCTGGGGCTCGGAGAAGGGGCTGCAGATGTTCTGGTGGGAGAGGGGACATGGGACGGCACCTCCTGGGGCTCGGAGAAGGGGCTGCAGATGTTCTGGTGGGAGAGGGGACATGGGACGGCACCTCCTGGGGCTCGGAGAAGGGGCTGCAGATGTTCTGGTGGGAGAGGGGACATGGGACGAGGGCGGGACCCGGGGCTGAGCTCCGAAGTCCCTGGCCTCTCAGCTCCGCCCTCTCCGCCCCCAGATGCGGAGCTGGACCTGCAGCGGAGCGTGCAGGCGGTGCTGCGGGAGCTTCGCGCCCAGGCCCCCGCCCTGCGGAGCAACCGGGGTAAGAGCCAGCGGTCCCCGCCTTTCCTCCACCCCCCCAACCCCCCCACCACACACACCTTCTCAACAAAGCATGCGGCCTGCAGCTCACAGGGCCCTCAGCCTGCTGGAGACCCCTGGGCCTGAACAACCCAGAAGCCTTTCTGCCCCACCCCCATCCCCACCCCCACCCCCACCCCCATCCCCACTCCCACCCCCATCCACCCCCACCCCCACCCCCATCCCCACCTCACCCCACCCCAACCCCATCCCTCCATCCCCCCAAACCCCCCACCCCCATGCCCATCCTCATCCCCACCTCCACCCCCACTCCCACCCCCACCCCCACTCCTATCCCCATCTCCACCTCCACCCCCACTCCCACCCCCACCCCCACTCCCACCCCCACCCCCACTCCTATCCCCATCTCCACCTCCACCCCCACCCCCTTCCCCACCTCCACCCCCACCCCTACCCCTACCCCCACCCCCATCCTGCGAGCACCCTGGAGACCTGCAGCCTCTTTGCTAACCACCTGTCCCACCTCCCCTTGCCCACGAAATCCCTGAGCCCTTCAGGCCCACTTGCTGACCTGTAAAGGATGCCGCTCTGTAAGCCCCATGCCCACACCCCTCTCCCCATGTCCCCTCCTCCTGTCCGCACTGGGAATCCTGTCCTCCAGGGCAGCAGTGAGGACTCCGCTGCCCTGGAGGACACATGGACAAGCCCCCGCCCCACGGTGTACCTGGAGCCATGCCCTGCCCGGGGCCGGCCCCGTGGCTGCTCCAGGGCACGGTCTGGGCCCCGGGACTCGGGGTCCAGCTCAGAGGGTCTCCTCTGAGAGCCGCCCCTCCCTCCGGGCCAGGCATGTGGCGGTGGTCCCTGCACAAGAAGGTGGAGCGCGATCCTGGGAAGAGCCCGGCGCTGGTCCGCATTCTGCTCCGGGAGCTGGAGAAGGTGGGCCCCCGGCCCGGGGAGGCCAGAGGGGGAGAGGGAGAGGGGCCACCCGCTGGGCTCGGCTCTCAGCGCTGCGATCCCCAGACCGTCCCCTGGGAGCCGGCTGCGTTCCCACCACGCGTCTCCCTCCTCTGTTTTCTTTAAACGATGCTACTGTGTACCATGAGCTGGCATCTTCCTAAGAGAAGCCATAACGTGGGCACCCACGGAAAGCCACGCCCCGTGGCAGAGGGAGACCGCACCTGGAAACAGGGCCGCACAGCCACGCCCCTGCACACCCTTCCGCGAACACCCCGCCCCGTGCCCCCGCCCACCCAGGGCTGCACTCAGGGAGCCTCCAAGTTGGGGGCTGTCCTGTGACCTTGCTCCCAGCTCCTGGGCCACACACGCACCCACCCCCTCCACGCAGTCACCTGCGCCCTCACGCTGGGACCGCCACCCCTGAGCTCTCTCCTCCCTCCTCCTTTGCAGGGCGGACTGTGGCCCTTCCCACCACATCCCTGCCATCCCCTAACCCCCCTCAGCTGGCCCCGGCAGGTGTGTGAGCCCCTCACCCCCACCCCATCCGTGCTTTCCAGGCAGAACGCGAGGACACACAGCTCGTCATCATCCCTCTGCTGCACACGCTCATGTACGTGCTCACCAAGGTGAGCCGCTGAGGTGCATGGGGGGGGGGGGGGGGGGAAGGGCGGCACACGCGCATGAGGAGGGGCTAGGCCCGGATCAGCTTTCCTTCTTCCTTTCTTTCTTCCTTTCTTCCTTCCTTCTTCCTTCCTTCCTTCCTTCCTTCCTTCCTTCCTTCCTTCCTTCCTTCCTTCCTTCCTTCCTTCCTTTCTTTTAATATATTTTTATCGATTTCAGTGAGAAAGGGAGAGAGAAATATCAATGATGAGAGGGAATCATTGATCCGATGACTCCTATACGCCCCCTACTGGGGATCATGTGCCTTTGAACCTAGGACCCTTCAGTCCGCAGGCCTAAGCTCTGGCCACTGAGCCAAACCAGCGAGGGCGAGGGCTGGATGGCTTCCTTTCACTGGCTGTGCCCTTTCCCTAGCAGTGGGCAATGAAACCTGGACTGGGGGGGTGGGCACTGAGCAGAGGGTGAGGAGGGAGAGGACTCACCGGGGGAACAGGGCCGATGGCCGTCCCTCTTGGGGAGCTGGAGGGAGAGTCACACAGCCTGTCCTCCAGGCACTGGGAGAGGGGAGTGAAGGCACGGACTGGGAGGGAAGTGGGAGCCCAGGTCCTGCTTCAGGCCCACCTTCCTCCTCTCCCACCCCCCACCCAGGACCTTCCTGACCTCGGGCTCCGGGCACCAACCCCTCCCTCTGTCCCAGGCCACAGGCATCCCGCAGGAGCTCTACTGGAGGACCTACACCCTCTGCGTGCGGCTCCTGACCCTGCCCGCCCCTTACTGCACCGTGGCCCTGGACTGCGCCATCCGTCTGAAGACCGAGTCAGCTGCCCCAGGTAGGCGCTGCCCCAGGTGGGCGCTGCCCCAGGTGGGCGCTGCCCCGGGTACGCGCTGCCCCGGGTAGGAGCTGCCCCGGGTAGGAGCTGCCTCAGATGGGAGCTGCCCCAGGTCTCCCACGCTGCAATCCAGCTCCACTACCCACGGTCTCAGGATTCTGGGAGCTCACACATCCAGCACCTGCTGTGGGGAGGGACCTGGGTCAGAGGCCGGCAGCTTGCTGACGTGCTTCGCTTGGCAGGGACGCTATACCAGAGGCTGGTCATTGCTGAGCAGAACCTGAGGAGCGAGCTGTACCCCTACCAGGAGAGGTGAGTGGCTCCGCCTGGCACTGCCCGCCGCCCCTCCAGGATTGGGCCTGTGGGGCTCACGGACAGGAGGACCAGGGAGGGGGCTGGATCGGGGGAGCCCAGCGGAGCTCCCGGCTATGACGTGTGTCCAGCGGGGGTGCGCCTCCGGGTGCAGGCCTTGCTCTGGAGCTCCCTGAAAGCAGGAAGGGACGGGATCCTGGCCACCCCGGTTCTGCTGTTCCACCTCCATCCTTCCCGTGGCCGGCAGGCAGCACCCGCTAGGCCAGCAGCTGAGGCAGCTGCAGAATGCCAAGAGCAGAGGGGCTCAGGCCCGGCACAGAGGTCTGCGGGCTGTCAGCAGTGCGCCTGGCCCTGTGGCTGAGGGGGAGGCGGTGCCCCTGTCACACCTGGGAGAGGGGCAGGTGGTGTTGGGTACGTAGCTTCCTCCCCTGTTGAGAGGCAGGGCTTGAGGCTTTGTGTTCATGGAGGTGCAGGGCGGGAAGGGCTCGGAGGGATGAGCCTTGGAGAGGTGGGAGCGCAGCTGGCGGAGGTGGTCCCCGGGTGTGACAGGGATGGTGAGAGCAGGTGGAACTTCGGCAGGAAGGGCTTAGGGTCCCTCCCAGAGAGCCATGCGGTCGAGGGGCCAGGACGTCAGAGGAGGAGGCAGGATTTAGGTGAGAACCTACCTGGATGCCAGAGACTAGCCCGAGCATGTCAAACTCGCGGCCCGCAACTAATAGTTGTGCGGCCCAGCCCATATAACGGTGTGTAAGAAACGTTTAAATAAAAATTTCATAGCTTAATTTTTACAATATCTTGTTACACATAGTTATTAATAATGAACAACATTCACTAATGACTGATCACTATCGTGGTGTTGCATTCATTTCCCTTATGCACCTTACTCAAAGGTGCATCATTTCTCTCCACTAATACCGTGTTTCCCCGAAAATAAGACATCCTCCAAAAATAAGACCTACTTACAGGTTTCCTTCTGAGTGAAATATACGGCATCCCCAAAAAATAAGGCCCCCTCTAGGCTAACATGAGAGATTTGGTCCACTGATTCTGAAAGAAATGGAGTCACAAGAAATTCACCAGGAAATTCAGGAATTGGATTGTTATGATGATGTTCCAGAAGATGATGACATGATTATCATTGAATAAATGAGTAAATTCTTGATACTGTAGGATTCACAGTTTGTCTGGTTTGTGTTGACAACTACCGTACTACCGTACCGTATACAGGTAATAAATTTCCTTTATTTTCATTTAACAATAAATGAGTACCATATTCTTCTTCATGGAAAAATAAGACATCCCCTGAAAATAAGACCTAGCGCATCTTTGGGAGCAAAAAATAATATAAGACACTGTCTTATTTTCGGGGAAACAGGGTACCAGCAGTGAATATTTTAGCAGCCGATGGCCACTTCCTTAGTCTTGGACTGGCTTGTTTGGTGTGCACCACAGGAAATATTTCACTTTCGGAGAACAAGAAAAATAGGGTGTTTTTTTTGTTTTTTGGGCTTTTGTGTGTGTGTGTTATGCTTATTAATTTGTGCAGTTATTCAGTGTCTGGTAAGTTAAAGTTCAAGAAAAAAATATTAATTTTATAAAAATGTTCTATTACTTTATGTTAACGATGACTCATTTATCTCAGCCCTTTGTATTCAGCATGTCTCTATCAAAATAAACCCACGTTCCTATGAAAATCGAAGCTTTTCGTGTGGCCCACGTACACTTACACCTTGTTTGCTTGGCCCGTTGTCAGCCTCTGAGTCTGACATGCGTGGCTAGCCGGGCCAGCGGCCTCTCTAGAAGAGCTGAGTCTCCAGCAGTGCGTGCTCTTCCTTGCCACAGTCCTCACCATTCATTACTATTGCCCGTCCCCTCCCACCAACACCCCTCCGGTCCCCATAGACTTTTGAATTTGAGGTTCTAAATAACTTGGGGGGGGGGGGCGCCTGCAAGACTCTGAGGGTGCCCCTCTGTGATTCTTCACCTGGCGGTCACCCTCATCAGCACACGCCTCCCCCTCTGCCCTCAGAGTGTTCCTTTTCGTGGATCCGGAGCTGGTGTCCCCCTCGGTGTGCAGCGCCCTGCTGCTGGAGATCCAGGCGGCGCAGGCCCAGCAGAGCCCAGAGGCCTGCATGCGCCACGTGGTCGCCCACGCCCTGCAGGCTGCCCTGGGTGCCACGTGCCGGGCGGACGCTCTGCAACGGAAGCTGCAGGTAACGCCCTGCCCAGCCCCATGGGGTCCATCCTGCCCCCCCGCCCCCCCGCCCCCCCCTTTCCCCGCTCCCGTGCCCACACCAACTGCTTACTCTACCCGCCTGCCCCTCTCCTATGGCCACATTACCTTGGCTCATGCGTCATAAATTAATTCACACGCGCTAAGGAAAGCCTGAGAAATGCAGTTAAGTCACAGAAGAGAATAAAAATATTCACCTCTCTCTCTACCCGGACATACGAGCAATTGACAGTCTGGTATGCTGCCTTAATGATAATGACAATGGTAATCATACTAGCTACTGTTTGTTGGATGCTTGTTGTGTTCCAGGCACTGTGTGAAGCACTTCTCACATATCACATTCTAAAATTGTCACCACGGCACTGTGACATGGATGTCATTTTCCAAAACTCGGGGACAGAGAAGATGCTAACCTGTTCACGGTCACACATGCAAAGGGCCTGAGTCGGAATGTGAGCCCAGTTCTGACTTCAAGCCCATGTTCAGTCGCCTCCCCCACCACTCCTTTGTAACCAACTGGCATATCACCCTCCAGAGGCAGTTTTATTTTTTAAAATGTACTTTTATTGATATCAGAAAGGAAGGGAGAGGGAGAGAGAAAGAGAGAGAAACATCAATGAGGAGAGAGAATCATTGATCAAACCTAAAACCCAGGCATGTGGCCTGACCAGGAATTAAACCTTGACCTCCTGGTTCATAGGTTGACACTCAACCATGCGGCCAGGGCTGTACACAGCTTTATTATCTCCCCCAGCCCTCTCCCTCCCCCCGACCCCCACAGACACACTATAGCATAAGCCCCAGGAGGGCAGGGATTTTTGTCTGTCTGTTCAGTGCTGTATCCTGGCATCCAGAACAGTGCCTGGCACATCATGGGTGCTCCATAGAGACATATTTAATTCATTAATTTATTTATAATTAATTTATAAAATGAAGCAACCAGATGCCATGGTCCCCATGGCCCCTTCCGACACTGATTCCATATCCCTCTCTCGCTTTTGTTCATTCAGCTGATCGCTCAGCAGATATTGTTAGCGCCCTGGCTAGTCACCATGCCCCCTAACGCAGAGAGAGATGGCAGCAAGCCCTGTGGTGTCCTTTGTGTGGGCCCCAACTCCAGCAATGAGCGGGCTCGTTGGTGGTGGGTGGTGAGGGAGACGGCCGGGGAGCAGGGGAGCAGGGCCTTGGGCGGTTCTCAGGGTGTCAGAGCTGTCCCACCGCAGGCGAAGCACCCGGTGCCGCAGGGCACGGAAGGTCACCGTTCCGCTAAGGAGAAAGGCTCAGCCCGGTGCTTTACCGCAAACATCTCCATCCCTGGCCCATCTCCCTTTTCAAAAAGAGACCAAGCGTCCAGCCCTAAAGCATGGCCGGCCATTGTGCTTTGTGATCGTTATTTTCTATTTATTTTTCAAATACATATTTTTATTGATTTCAGAGAGAAAGAGAGAGGGAAAGAGAGATAGAAACATCATCATTGACTGGCTGCCTCCTATCATGGGAGTCATGCCCGCAACCCGCCCATGTGCCCTGACCGGGAACCGAACCCGTGACCTCTTGGTTCATAGGTCAACGCTCAGCCACTGAGCCAACCTTTTTTTATGTAAGTTAGCAATATAAAATTTCATTTTAAAGTACTTTTGAACCAAGAAACTGAGCTGATTTAAATAAAAATGAGTACGTGGCAGTCTAAGTGCTAGGTCCAGGCAGTATGAAAATGAGAGACGTTCAGGAAATATTCCATACATGGATGGACACGGAGCTGGCGATGCAGCTATAAATAGACAGACAAACTCGCTGCTTTCTGGAGTTCGCGACCTGGTGGGGGCAGGGCGTTGACACAAGCGCTTGGTGACGCCTCAAGGAGATGGGTGCCAGCAGCCATTCTGCCAGGCTGGGTTCTCCACAGCCGGGCACCAGCTGTCCCCCACCCCAGGGTGGAGGGGTTATAGCACATGTGTCAAACACAAGGCCCGCGGGCCAAATCTGTCCCGCCAGGCCTTGCAATGTGGCCCGCACCGCGCTGTCATCACTGCACTCCGCTGCGTTTCCATCACAATGACAGTTTATGACTGTTCAGTAAACCATTCGGCCCGAGATTTAGGCTGGATTTTAGATTTTGGCCCCTTCTCTGATTGAGTTCGACACCCCTAGGTTAGAGGGACCGGAAGTCGCAGGCAGCATCTGGGAGGAGCTGTGGCGGGGCAGGAGGGAAGCTCCTTCTGCGCCCGCTCCCTGCTCTGCTCCGCCCCAGGCAAAGGGGAGGCGCCCGGTTGGGTTGTTCATGCACCTGCAGACTTGGCATCCAGCTGGGGTGGGTGGGTGGGTGCTGGGCCGGGATCCAGGCTCTGACACACACACACCCTCACAGGCCAGCCCGCGCCGCGCCCTGGAGCGCCACTTCCACGCGGTGGTGGCCGCGGTGGAGCAGACGGCCAGCGAGCCCAGCGCCGCCGGGGAGGGGCACCTGGAGAGGCTGGAGGAGATCTACTGCTCGCTGCTGGGGCCGGCGGCGGCCGCCAGGGGGCGCTGCGGCGGTAAGCGGCGGGCGCTCTCCTGGGTACCACCTGCGCACTCTGCAGTCACTCTGCAGGGACAGGGAGAGACCAGGTCTGGCCACCCCCAGCACCCAGCCACACCCAGCACCTGCCCCGTACCTTGCCTTGTCCTGCCCATCTTACTGACCTGCCAGCGCCCCTGGGGAGCCCCTGCATGGGACAGTGCTTTTGAGCACAGGGTCCTGGCTAAGAGCATGCACGCTGGCGCTGGCATACCTGGCCTCAGATTCTGACTGCATGACTCACTGTGTGGCCTTGGGCCAGGTACCTAACCTCTCTGTGCCACCGGCTCCTCCTCTGGATAGTGAGGATGCGGATACTCTGTGTGGCCTGTGCCGGATCCGGTGAGGGGGTGGCAAGGTGTGCCGGGCGCGGAGAACAGGGCCTGGCAGTCGTAGCTGCTCTGTGGGCATTGGCTGCTCTTCAGTAAGGAAGCCTGCAGCCTTGGTAGGGAGGGAGCCATGTGGTGTAGAAATCAAACCCTAAGGCCACATGTGAGGATTTCATTGTTAAGCGGCCAGTAAGGTCTGCTGGGAGGAATGGCGGCCGGGGTGGAGAGGTCAGGAAGGCTTCGGAAGGAGGAAAAGAGGAGGGCCCGGCCCATCTCTCCCCGGGACTGCAGGGGTCCTGCTGACCTTAGTACTTGGCTCCTGAGCGCTCTTGAGCGACACCCCCCCGGAGCAAACATCAGTTGAGTGCTTTCTGTGTGCGAGCTCCTGGGAGAGACGCTGGGACACACAGCAGCCTCCCCCCTTCCTCTGGATGGAGGCAGGGTGCCTAACAGTGGGAGAGGCAGTGTGGCTGCAGTGGGGTGAGCGGAGGGACCAGCCACAGGGCAAAGGTTGGGGAAGATGCTGTGAGCTGAGTTGTAAAGGCGCCTAAAGGCTGAGCTAGGAAGTTTGCAGGAAACGGAGCTTCTGAGCACCCTGGGCAGGAGGGACTGCTGCCCTGTTAGGCCTGGTGAGCTGACGGTGGCGGAGAGGGCGAGGCCGTAACCAGAGGGGGGTGGGAGGGTGCGGGTCTCTGCCACCCCCCTCTAGGCCTCATACAGGAGCGGGGGTGGGGGGGGAGGGCAGAGGAGAGTCCCACAATCTTCTCCTCCGTGGTCTCCACAGCCTGCTCCTTCCTTCAGGTGACGCCCTCCCGGCCCAGCCCCCCAGCATCCCCCTGCCCAGCCCACACATCACGTTCCAGCTGTGGACGGACGAGGAGCAGCTCTGTGAGTCACGCCTCTGACCTCCTCCGTGGCAGCTGGTCGGGAACAGCGGCATACGTGTGTGTCTGTGCATCTGTGCATGTGTGTGTGTGTGTGTGTATCTCTGTGTATATGTCTGTGTATGTATCTGTATGTGCTTGTGTGTGTATCTACTGTGTCTGTGTGTGTTCTGTGTGATTGTATCTTTGTATCTATTATGTGTGTCGGTGTGCATCTGTCTAGGTGTATCTGTGTGTGTCTGTATGTGTCTGTGTGTACATCTGTTGCGTGTCTGGGTGTGTGCCGAGTTGCTCTACACATCTGAAGGAAGAAGATACGTTCCTTATGTCAGAATAGTTTAGTGCATTATAGAAGGTAGTGCAATATACTGCAATAAGCCTCGCATTGTCTAGAGCAGTGGTTCTCAACCTTTCTAATGCTGCAACCCTTTAATACAGTTCCACATGGTGTAGTGATGCCTAACCATAAAATTATTTTCATTGCTACTTCATCACTGTAATTTTGCTACTGTTAATGAATTGTAAATATGGGTTCACAGGTTGAGAACCGCCAGCAGGGTCGCCTTAGACCATCAGAAAACACAGATATTTACATCACTGCAAATTACAACGAAAATAATTTTCTGGTTGGGGGTCACCACACCATGAGGAATTGTATTAAAGGGTAGAGGCATTAGAAAGGTTGAGAACCACTGGGCTAGAAGGTGCCACCTTCTCATGATGACGCCAACAGACAAAGCAGGTCCCCAAGAAGGAGGCAGTCCCAAGAGAAGTCATGGCTTTCAGAGCTGAAGGGGCTGCCAGCTTCCCCTCCACACGGGCGTCCCCTGGTGCCCCTGGCCTTGCTGAGGGAGCGGGGAAGGCACAGGCACGGGCTGCAGGGAGCAGAGCTGGACTAGTGAGCTGGGTGAGGTCCTGGCACTTCCGGTCACATGCTGGGTCACCCCAGACAGACCCCGTGTTCTCCCCGGGCCTGCTTCCTCGTGGGAAATTAAAGAAACATGCTCAGCCCCCAGGGCTGTGTCTGGAGGTCAGGAAAGCCCAGAGGTCCTTCCCCAGCTGCTGGCCCTTTCTCTGTGTCCTGGGAAGCGACAGGAAGTGAGAGGGCGGGAGGATGCTAATGAGCGATGGTGACAGAGAGGGTCTAAAGTGACTCCTTGATGCTGATTCCTTGACAGCAGGCTTCTCCAAGCCTTTAGTAAAAGGTGAAATAGAGAAGGGGCTGGAGACCGGGATGTCAGGACACAGGCTTTATTGAAGAGAAGAGTACCACTGCCGGCTGCTTCCAGAGAGAGAGAGAGTGGAAGAGAGCGAGGGCCAGGGTACAAGCACTTTTTAAGCGGGAGGAGAGGGGACGGGGCTTAGGGCACTCAGCACACCTGATTGGTGGTTTCATATAAGGCCTAAAAATTTAGGAATCAGGGTATTTGGCAGGTGCTGATTGGTGGTTCAGTGCTCAGGAATGTCTGGCTGCAGGCGGGGTTTATGTCTGTCCATCTACTGGAGGAAGAGAGGACCTATCATTCAGCTGCTGAGGAATGGAACTCAACAAGAGGGGGCAGGCAAGGGGGGGGCTGGGTCTGTCGGCCACAGAACCTCTGCTCCTTCGTGGTGTGTCTTGTGGGGCTGCTGCTCAGTGAAGCAGCATTTAGGAAACAGAAACCCCCACCTTGCCAGGGCAAGGCCCTGCCAGCTCACACGCCCTCCACCTGGTTCTCCACGTCGCAGGGAAGGAACTGATGCTCTTCCTGCGCCCGCGCTCCCAGCAGCACCTCAGCGCGGACTTGGATGCCCTGGACCTGCAGGGCCTCCTGCCGGACCGGGAGCTGGCCCGCGCGTCCGTGCTGTCCACCGACAGCGGCATCGAGCGGGACCTCCCCTGGGGCACCGACGAGCCGCCCGCCCCCGGCAGCCCCGAGCCGGAGCGCGCCGCGCTGCAGCGCAAAGGGGGCGTGAAGAAGCGCGCGTGGCTCCCCGACGTCAGCCACTGGGCGGGGCCCCCCGGGCTCCACCGGCGGACTGGCCAGCCCGCGGGGGACGGAGAGCTGCTGCCCGGGGTCGCCCGGCTGCACACGGCCCGGGTGCTGGTGCTGGGGGACGACAGGATGCTGGGGCGCCTGGCCAGGGCCTACCACAGCCTCAGGTGGGGCCCGGAGCGGGGCTGGGGTGAGGGTGCTGGGGCCCGGGGAGGGAGGGGGGCGCCTGTGCCGACGCCCCCTGTGCTCTGTTGCCCCTGGCCAGGAAGCGAGAGACCCAGACGTTCTGCCTGTCTCCCAGACTCAGCCTGCAGCTCTACTACATCCCCGTGCTGACCCCTGAGGTGATGGGGGGAGGAGGCATGGGGGAGGGGGGGCTCAGGAGCAGGGGGCTGGGTTAGGGGCTGGGCAGGACACACTGCAGCCTGCCGACCAGGCTCCAGGAACTGGGGTCACCCTTCCTTGGGAGCGGGAGCTGGGAGAGACCCTAGAGATCTTTCCAGAAGCCACAGACACGGCCCTGGGGCTGAGTGTGGCCAGTGGGACATTCTCTCACAGGGGCAGGCAGCCTGCCCAACTCTGGCTTTCTTTTTGCTTTTCTAATGAAATTAATGGCAAGCTTCTCCTCAAACAGGGCATACACACGTGCACACACACATGCCCACAAGCATACACACATGCATACACACACGTGCACACGCGAGCATGCACACCACTTCCTGGGGACTTCAGGCAGCAGAACCCCATTGGCCCGCTGGGGGACAGGAAGCCCCACTCGAGGTTTCTGATCCCTGTCGCCCACTTGGCTGCTTTTCGGGAAGATTAAGTTCAAAGCAGCACTCGCCTCCCTCCGGTTAAGGCTGATGAGCATATGACAATGACCTGGCCAGTGGCCCTCAGAGCGGGCGTTCCCGCTTCATCTGAGACAGAACAGCACTGTGGATGGTGCAGAAATGGCCCCCAGAGGTTAAGCAGTGGGACCACATTCCCAAAGCTGGTGGCCCCGGACGCGGACCTGGGGACACTGCGGCCAGGAAGAGGGGCCGAGACAGGCCTGACGGGCCGGCCTCCTCCCTGTCCTCAGAAGCGAGCATCCTCCCGGCACCTGGAGCTCGGAGAGCTGGCGGCGTTCCTGGGCCGGGCGGACCCCTGGTACGAGAGCACCGTCAACACCCTGTGCCCGGCCATCCAGAAGCTGGCAGAGATGGTAGGGGCGGGGGCGGGGAGGGCAGCAGGGTAGAGGGAGGCGGGAGGAGCCATTTCCAATATGACTCTTGACCCTTGACCAGGGGATCCATGGCTGGAGGAGGCAGGAGAGCAGTACAGGAGTGAACCCTAACCAGCGAGTGGGTGGGATTTACTCAGAACACGTACCAGGCGCCCCAGTCCTCCTTATCCATGGGGTCTACGTCCGCCGAGTCAACCAACCGGGATGGAAACCTCTCAGGAAGAACAAGTTACACTGTGGCTCATGTGTGCTGGGCCTACAGCGGCCTCTGTACTAAACACACACACATTCTCTTTTCTTGTCATTATTCCCCAGATAACACAGTATGACAGCTATGTACACAGCGTCCACATTGTGTAAGGTAGTAGAAGTCACCTAGAGCTGATCTAGAGTACCCGGGAGGGGGTGAGGAGATGCTGCTACCCACAGGGGTCCTGGGAGCCATCCCCGTGGTTACTGACGGTGCTTGGACAGAACCACGATGGGAAAGACGAAGGAACGCATCCTTGCCTCAGCGTGCAGGCCAGTCACACTCCTCCTCTTGTGCGTTTCCCGGGAGGCTTTGTCTGTGGTTATCATAGCGAATGCTTCCAGGGCCCATCCGTGTGCCGGGCACTGTTCTGAGCAGTTAACGCAGGGCAACCCTACCAAGCAGACACTCCTGTGTTCACATCCACATTTCACAGATCCAGCAGCTGAGGCACAGCGAGATTAGGTGATTTGCCCAAAGGTATCGAATGGGTGGTAGAGTCCCGCCTGGGACCAAGCAGCTTGATGCCAGAGCACATACAGACCGCAGAGTGGCCGATATTGGGAAGAAGCTAGTCGCTTACTCACTTGAAAAGGCCTTGACCTACTAAGAGAATCTTATCCTTTTTGCGATCATCCATGTTGCAAGACATTTTATTCCACTTTATTATGTGCCTATCAATTATGTCACTAGAGCTTTTGATCTTCAAAAGTTTAATACATGTATGTAGATCTACATAGCACTTTTATGTTTCAAAGGGACTTTTCTACTGATTAATTTGTATGCAAGAGTAAATAAGTTTTCACTGATAATTTACCCTGATACTTTTAACATCTCCACTTTTGCATTTAAATAACCTATTTGCAATTAATGTCAGTGGTTAGTGTGGAGTGTGTAATTTTGTTTTTTTCCAAATAGCAGTTTTTCTAAGCTAATTATTGCATAAAGCATCTTTCTCCATCCATCTGAAATGCCACTCTCATCATTTACTAAATTCTAACATATGCTTGAGTTTATTTCTGGATACCTATTCTTCCTCATCGACCTATTCTGTTCTGTACAAATCGACACTTTATATTTTAATAGCTGTCAGGGTAAGCTTACCCCATTACTCTTCTTTTTCAAAACTTTTCAGAATGTGCTTATTTATGGTTGGTTTCAGAATTTTTTTTTCATTTTTTTTTAAGTTTTATTGATTTTCTTTAGAGGGAGAGGGACACAGAGAGAAATATTGATGTATGAGCAAAACATTACTTGGCTGCCTCCTATATACTCCCTACCAGAGATCAACCTGGGCATGTGCCCTGGCTAGGAATCCAACCTGCCACCTTTTGGTGTTCAGGGCTGCCACCCAACCAACTGAGCCACACCGGCCAGGGCTTTGTTTTATTTTTAATTCCCTTGGGACATTGGTTGGAGTTTGAAGGAGAATTAGCATCTAAAGCATATTAAGTCACCTTCTCTGAGGCCAAAGCATAACCCTAATTATTAAGATCTTCTTGTATATCCCTCATGATAGTTGTGCAGTTCTCAGCATTTAGATTTGACCCATTTCTTGCTTAATTTATCCTCTCATTTAATAGTTTTTCCTTGCAAGTGAGGATGGTACTTTTCTCCCATTGTTTTTGGATGGTATTACTGCTAGTATAAAAGGGGCTTACTGATTTTTACCTATTTATTTTCTAACTTGCTACTTTACTGAGATCTCCATTTTGCTTCAGTGCCTGATTAATTGGGATGCCTTCTTATATCTTTTATTTGCATAAAGATGTTGGGGGGAGGCATGTTTTCTGAATTCTTGCTTATCTAAACAATGTCTGCAAATACATGAAAGACTATTTAGCTAGGTATTAAAATACTTTTCTTCAAAACTATGTATCTTTATTGGTAGTGTTTCCCCCATGCCAGGACACATATAAGATTTTGGTTTTCCCCTGCTCTCCTTCTCCTTATAATTAACAATTTGTATGATCCTTACACTTACTCCAAAAGCAGTTTCTACATGAGGAGGCTGGATACAGTGTGAGGAATGCAGCTTGATTAGAATAAGGTCACAGTTCTTCAGCATAACCTTTTTGAAGGGAACAGTATTCAATAGATCAGACGTGAGAATCAGAGGAGATCTTACAGGACCATACATAGATGGGTTAGATAAACTCTGAGTTTCTTTCCAACTCTGATGCTATCAGATTCTATATAGACATTCTGTTCTGTTTACCTAAAACACCAAATTATTACACTTTAGAATTACATGGAGCTCAGAGGAGGAGGGAGGGGGAGGACTGTAGGACATTGCACTAGTCCCTTTTCAATAATATGTTTAAAAAAATAGTTTATTAATATATTCAGCTACCACCAAAACTGAAGGAGACGTCACCTTCTGGTCCAACTTCTCACGCCCAAGGGTAGCGAGTAGCTAATCCAAACCCAGAACCCAGTCCCAGACTCTTTCATGATTAGTTACATTCTCAAGCATCTTGTCGACTCCAAGGACCCAGCACAATGCTTTGCACATCGAAGTACCAGGTATATCTTGGTGTAATTATAATGAATCTGAGTCCCCGGGGACGTGGGGTTCTGCACAGGAAACCGGTGGTAGGAAAGGCTTGGGCTGTGCTGAAGGACCAGCTGGGTTAGAGCATCACAGAGGAGAGGTGGGGGTCATGGGGCTTCTCTACTAAGAAAGTGGCACCTGCCACAGTAGCATGGAAGGAGGTCCTAGAAAACATTCTCTCTCCCTCACAGCCTCCCTCCCTGGACACGTCCCAGACCGTAGACCCCTTCATCCTGGACGTCATCACCTACTACGTCCGCATGGGCACCCAGCCCATCTACTTCCAGCTCTACACAGTCAAGGTGAGCTTTCCACCTGGGCAGCTGCTGGGCCCCGGGCCCCTGCCCCCGAGTGCCTGGCTCAGGGGAAACACAGGCTACCAGGGCGCCCGTCATAAATCCACCCAGGGACCTGGGCTGTTCATTTTGCCTTCTTCCTGGGTTTCTCCCTGGATTTTTGTGAGTGACTGCAGGCTGGTTCCCAGTGGCCGCCCCTGCCTCCAGCTTCTTGTGGAAGTCCTTCTGGCTTACGGAAGTCTTGCTTTCACTCTGCTTCCTGTGGGGAGAGCTTTTCTTCATTGCCTCCTCGATCTGGACCTAAATAACGGATTTAGGGCTTTTCTTTGGTTTTCAAAATGCAAACCAAAACAACACAAAAGAGACAAATGGGGGGAAAACTCTCAGAGGTCCCTGGTACAGGGAGTGAACATCGCAGCGATGCAAACATTGTAAGATTTGGTAGCTGCCACTGCCCTCAGCTGAAGCCCCCCCCCCCCGACCCCCACCCTCACCCCCCGAGCACCCTGGATGCTGGACAGGGATGAGTTTCCCTACTTGCTGAGTGAGGGGGCCACACCCCTGGCGAACCACGAGGCATCTCAGGAGGGGACTGTTAGCACTCCTGCCGGTGACTTTGGAGAAAAAGTCACCAAAAAAGATGGCTTTGCTCTGGATCCAATGCCGTCAGGAAGCAGGAATGATTCCACGACTGGGCATCTCAGCCGTTTTAACTGTCACTCTTTGGTGCTAAGAAACAGCGGCCGCTCCTATTGGCTGGGAGGGGAGCGGAAGGGCTGTGGCCTGCAGTCTTCCCATCTTTGCCTGTGTTCAGACCTGACAGTGGCGCGGTCAGCTTTCTGTCTTGGCCCATCACAGTCACTGAGTGGCCTCGCCTAGCCATGTTGGCGCCTGTGACATGGTTTATGGTGCACAGATCACGGAGGCCTCGCTGTGAGAGCCTGGCCAGCTCCTGGCTTCTGGCGGCACTTTCTTCCTCTCTCCGTCTTGTTCTTTTGAGAATCCCGTGGCTACTCTTCCCTGTTGTTCCAACATCCTCCCTCTTGCCGCTCCCCTTTGCTCTGTCCCTCTCCCCTCAGGAGCCACTCCCACCCCCACATTTCCTCGGGGTCTCCCTGAGAGCAAACCAGCTCTCACTAGCCCTGGGCTCCTGCAGCCCCAGCTTCTCGGTGCCCATCGGGGACTGTCAGGTCCTCCTTCCCGGCCCTCACCCTTTCATCCCCCCTGCCAGAGTCTCCAAGAGACTTCACTACCCTCCCCCGTGTGAGCTGTGTCCCCCGCTCCTGCCACCCACGTCAGTGGTGGTTACAGGGGTTTGGGTTCCAGTCGTACTTTCCTCCGCTGTTTATAAGTCTGTGATGGGCTGTACATGTGATATGTGTGTAGGCAGATGGACAGAGTCTGATCTAGGTCGTCCCGGAATGCCACTCAGAATCCAGCACTGGCAGGAGGGGCAGGGGCAGGGGCACTCTGACAGCTTCTATGAGTTCTCCTAGCCACCCACATCCTCGGGCTCTAGGGTTGCAGGGGGAGCTGTCTATGGCAGAGACCCAGCCTTCTCCACCTCCTTTGCTCTTCCCCGCCCCCCCCCAACCCCCATCTCTCCAGATCTTCTTCCGTGACCTGAGCCAAGACTCCGCAGAGGACGTTTTCCTCACTGAGCTGAAGGCGAAGATCCAAGACTCTAAATTCCCCAGAGGTGAGCATCTGCTCCCCTTTTCCAAAGCTCGCCCTGGCCCAGCCTCCCCACGCCCCTTTTCCCCCACCTGTCCTGGCTGAATACTGAGGTGATGACCTTGGGTCCCGCGGAGCCTGCCCGGGCAGAAGGGCAGCCTGGCCCCCCGAGGCTCAGTGAGGTGGGGAAGCTGGGGTCCCGGAGGACCTCCCACCTTCAGCCTCTTCTCCTCTTCCCTCAGATGGCTTCTCCCCCAGGAGGAGAGGCGCGGCTGAGGCCCCGGGGGCTGAGCTCTCCCTGAGCTACCGGAAGGTCAGTGGTGGTGTGGTCAGGGGGTGCCCTGGCTGGAAGCAGGTGTCAGGAGCACGGGGAGGGGAATCAGAGCCAGAGGAGCCTTCTGCCCCCTCCGGGCCGCTGCCCCAGGGCCCCAGCGTTCAGAGAGTTTGGGAGGAATGTGAGGGTTCCCAGTGGCCTCACAGGTCGACAAGGAGGGGACCTGATTTCATCCTTTGGGTCTAGAAGGCTTGCACATGCCCCGGGGCTGAGCATGCTCTAAGCCACATGTGTCAAACACAAGGCCCGCGGGCCAAATCCGTCCCGCCAGGCCTTGCAATGTGGCCCGCCCCGCGCTGTCATCACTGCACTCCGCTGCGTTTCCATCACAACGACAGTTTATGACTGTTCAGTAAACCATTCGGCCCGCGATTTAGGCTGGATTTTAGATTTTGGCCCCTTCTCTGATTGGGTTCGACACCCATGCTCCAAGCCCTTTTCCCGTTCCCCTTATCGGGCGTTGATGACACAGATGGAACCTGAGGCAGGGCTGGAAGTGAGACTGCTGGTGTGAGGATGTGAGGGCCGCCCTCTGAGCCTGATCTCCCTCCCCAGGCCCTGCTCAGCCACCGGATCCGAGAGGTTAGCATTTCCCTGAGGGCCACCGGGCTGGTCCTGAAGGCCCTTCCAGCCGGTGACACCGAAGGTGAGGAGCTGGGGAAGCAGAGCAGAGAGAGGCGGAGGGACAAGAGGGCGGAGGATAGAGGGTCCAGGGACAGGAGGGGAGGTGAACCTGGCCCCGCCCTCAGATGCTGAGCAGTGAGCGGGCTGGCTGCTCCCTGGCACTGGGTTGCACGTCTGAGGCCTGATGAAGGCCTGCAGCAGCGCCTCCTCTGTGCCCGGGCTGCAGGGCAGGGTTCTATTTGGGAATTTTTCTTTTGAATTCTGTTCCATCGGGCAGGGACCCTCCGGGTCACAAAGGGCACTACGGATCCAAAGTATCTACTAACTAATTATAGAATGACAGATACCTATTGATACGAAGATTGTTCCCTAATTAAGTCTGAAACTAAGATCATAGAAGACACCAGTTTATGTGCCTATAATTATATGCATAGGTTATAAATGTGGGCTGTTCCTGGGAGTGCCCTGGCCTCTGGAATAATGGAAAGGCTGGTGATGTGGATTTCTAAACACCACACACACTGCTCAGAGGCCAGGTTATGTTCTCTGTCAAGCATATCCATTCCTGTAGGCAGATTAGCCCGATGACATAGGCATTACTCGTATCAGCAACTCTTTCCTGGAGAGGAAACTGAAGAAAATGAAATGACTTGCCCAAGGCCACACGTCTCACACAAGAGCCCGTGCTCCTCACCCTGTTCCTCGCACTTCCTCTGCAACCTCCAAATCTCAGCAGGCCAGGCGTCCAGGCTGGGAGCCACAGATGCCTGCAGAAGGCTGTTCCAGAGCAAACAGTTCACCAGGCAGAAATGTATCTTGCTCACTGCTCTACCCCCAGTGCCTAGCACACGTTCTGGCACATAGTAGGTCCTCGGGAAACATTTACTGAATAAAAGAAATGCTACTTTACACCCAAGAATTTGTTTTAAAAAGAATGCATGAGCCCTAGCTGGTTTGGCTCAGCGGAAAGAGCGTTGGCCTGAGGACTGAAGGGTCTGGGGTTCTATTCTGGTCAAGGGCACATGCCTGGGTTTTAGGCTTGATCCCCAGTAGGGGGCATGCAGGAGGCAGTCAATCAATGATTCTCATCATTGATGGTTCTCTCTCTCTGAAATCAATAAAATATATCTATTAAAAAAAAAGAATGAATGACTCTAGAATGTTCTAGAAGAAACACAGGCTGAAAATACACATTAGCCAGCCTGGAAGCCTATGAGGAGTATGCCTCGCTCCCTCCCTCTTCTCCTGGGTGGCTTTGCTAGCTCTCCAGCAAATTATTTCTCCCGTCTGTCCTGTAAAGCATGTGTGTTTATTTATGGGCATCATCGCTCCTAAATTGTCTTGGCGTCTGTCACAAAGAGGACACTCAAGAAATAATTGGTTGCTTTGATCACTTCCTGATAAAATGGTTCTTGAATTTGTGGATGACATGAGGCTCCATCACAGCCAGACATGGCTGGTGTATAGGGCAGGAGACAGCCTTTACTTGTAGGTCCTTAACGCCCACCGTGAAGGGGGCGTGTGACTTGGGCAATAGCTCTAACCGAGAAGTGAGGTGTGTGGGGGAGGAGGTGTCAAGAGCACAGATTCTAGGACTGGAAGGGCAGGCTTCGGAGGGTCACTTACCGCTGCATGACCTGGGCAAGTTACTTGTGACCGCTCAACCCGTTTTCTCACTTCTAAAATGGAGCTAAGATACTAGCTTATGTGCATTATGTGTAGTAAATGATCATCTTAACCTCTTGTTAACTTTGTATTTCTTCTCTCTCCTTCACAAGACTCGCACTGCCCACCCCCCACCCTAGCTTATGCCTCCTCCAAGTCTTCCATCACAAAACCCTGTCAGGACGGAGGCCAGACCCGCCTCAGGCATAGACATCAAAGAACCCTCCTTAGCAGGGAGAAGGGGGGCCTGGGAGCAGTCACCCATGATCTGGACACGTTAGGCACCGTTCCGGCACCCAGGGAAGGCCTCAGCCTGCCGGGAGAGCTGCGCTCCTCCCCCTCCGGGGTGCTTTGTTGCACATACATCCTGGGTGAGGTTCCTTCCCAGGAGACACGAGGAAGCTCAACAGAACTTCCTCCCCTTGGAAAAGGGGTGTGAGGGCATGGAAAAAGGGGTCTGGGTTGGCTGCTGTGCCTGAGGATACAGTACCTTGTGGATTCTCCAGGGGAGGGAAATGGATAATATAATCAGGAAGGAACAGAAATGTGGCTAGGAGCAAGGTGGGGTCAGGAAGGGGCTAAGCAGAATGTGGGAGAAGGTTCCTGTGGGGAGAGGGAGACTTCTTAGGACCTAGAATCTCAAACTGGTCTACTTCCCTGAAGGTCCTTTCACAGCTACCCCCTCCCCGTCTCATTCCTCCCCTTTCAAGTCCCGCCCACTTCCCCCCAAAATGTTTCTCCCCGACAGACCACACATGCCTGAGTGTTAACGTGACGGAAGTTGTCAAGTCATCCAACTTGGCGGGAAGGTCCTTCTCTGTAAGTGCCGGGTAGAACGGGAGCTGGGGGCGTTCAAAGGGCAGGGGGCTGGGTGTGTGGGGGGATGGGTGGTCAGAGGAAGGACTTGTGAGCCTTTCTGAGCCTTTGCTATGGAAATGGGTCTTCCTATCAGAAAGAATGTGCTTTCCAATCAGTCGGTTTGGTGAGTTGAAGGGCTTCAATGACACTATTGAGGCTGGATTGGAAGTTTGATTTAGGAAATGAGTGGAGAATGGTAACATTTGCGCATCGAGGTGAAGAAGGCAGGAAACAACTGGCAGCCTTTGCAAATCCTGCATCGGGTCCTCCCACTGACCTCCATGGCCACATTTGTAGATTGACAGCCAAGACTCCTGCGGCCCTCACAGGCCAATGCCGGCCGGTTGGTGTGTCTAGGGGTACAGACCCCAAGGGGAAACGAAGGCAGCTGCCTGCATTCAGGCACATGGGGAAGGCCCCAAGACTGCCTCTGGTTATCCTCGGGGCAGGATCATGGTGGCCGAGGTCCTGCCGGCAGACACTCAGCACAGCCCTGCAGTGACCACAGTCAGTCCCTGCAAACCTCTGCCTTCCTCTCTGTGGCACCTCACCGGCTAGGTCATGTCAGGTGGGGCATCCCCCATGTTCTACTAAATGCCCTTGGCTTTCCCCCAGCCCCCAGCTCACCAGGTCCCCAGCCTCCCTGCTGTGTGTCCAGGTCTTTCTGGAAGGTCTTGGATGACATCTGAGTGTCCATCATCACCAGTTGGCAGTCTGGTCCGTTTCCACCAGGGTCCACTGCCTCTCCCCCAGCCCCTGGGCCACACCTGCCCGCCATGAGCGGGGGGCCAGGGCACCTAAGCTGCCGCAGGTTCTGTTGCATCGCAGGGGAAAGCCCCTCCCCCTTTGTGCTCCCCTCTGTCTTAGAAAGATTGGGGTGCATCTTGTTTGTCCCCTCAGCCCACCTGCTAGGACTGAGAGCCCCTCTGTTCCTGGAGCCGGAATGCCTTCCCTCTGGCTGACCGGGGACTTCCCCTGGGGCCTGGTCTAGAGAGGGATGGAAGGCGGGGGCCGGGGCAGGAGGCAGGCTGGGGAGTGATAGAACCCACCGTGGGTTTGTTCCCTTCGCCTCCGACAGTGGAGGCCGTCATCTACGCCAGCTCCTTCTTGAAAAAGTATCATCAACAAACAGCTTGTCATGTCCCAGGAGCTTCACATATGCTGTCTTTTCATCTCCACAGCCAGCCTACCAAGTGGCGGCTATTATTACCTCATTTCTCCTAAATGAGAAACAAAAGCACAGAGAGACTGAGACATATGTGCAAGGTCACACAGCTAATACGGGGCAGAGCCCGGATGAGAACCCGGGCATCCGGCTGTAGAGTCTGGGCTTTGACCCTCCTCCCAAGAGACTCTTGCACACTCTGCCCGTAGCTTTCTGGCTGGCCTACCCTCACCCCCAAACTGCAGCAGTGATGCCAGGACATGCTTGACACCCCATCCCCCAACCCCCGTGCAGGCTGCTGCTGGTGCCTCTGCTCTATGACAGTGCAGAGGTCGGTGAGCTCAGTGGTGCCCAGCCATGCCTCCGATGGGAAGCTTATTTTAAAATGCTCATGCCTGGCCCTGGATGAGAGGCTCAGTTGGTTGGAGCATCATCTGGTACACCAACGGGTTTCAGGTTCAGTCCCCAGTCAGGGCACATACATCTGTCTCTCTGTCTCTCTCTCTCTAACACAAAATCATGCCTGGCTGGACTCCAGACTATTGAAGTCAGAATCTCTAAGTTTATGTTTTGAAAGACGATGCTTACGAGCAGCCAGGGCAGAGAACACTTGGACAAGTGGCCCAGACTCTAGCACTGCGTTCTGTGGCGAGGAGTCACCCAAAGCTGCACGGGGGTTGGGCCAGTGACTGGGGAGGCCTTCTGAAGTCCCGCCCGCAGCCAGGCAGCTCCTCTGAGAGGCCCCCTGAGGTGGGAGGTCAGAAAGATGCTTTCCTCTGGCTCTGGGTACTTCCTAGAGAAGCCATGGAGGGCTTTGGGGGCACTGAAGGCTGAACCCCTTGGCCCGGGTTCCCTGTGCAGAGGGTGGATTCCTTCTGCCCATATCTGGCCCCCAGACAATGTCAGGACACAAAGTGACAAGGCCTGATCTAAGTCCTGGGGGGCAGGTGGCCTCTTTCTAGACACCCTGTCTCTAGCCCAGGTAAATAATTTTGTATGTAATCCAACATGGAACTGGGGCGTCAGGACTTAGAAAATTCCACCTATCGCTTGCCTGTCGTATGGGAGCGCTCAGGCCACATCATCACCTGGCAGGCACTGGCCAGAGCAGCCCTGGCTGGGCTCTGAATTAAGGATGGCGGGCTGGGAGAAGGAGGGCAGAAACCCCGAGGGGACCAGAGCAGCCTGGAAGCCACTGCCGAGTCACTCGCAGGAAGAGAGCCAGGACCCGTGTTCAGGGAGGAGACGTTGGCAGGGCCGCCTGCCGGAGCCATCTCTCTGTTGCAGGCGGTGACAAACACCTTCCGTGCGGCCAACGTGCAGGTCCAGAGCCAGGACCAGAGGCTGCTGACTCTGTGGCTGGACAAGGACCATCGGCGCACGTTCAGGGATGTGGTCAGGTGAGGCCGGGCCCACCACCTCTCAGGCTGCGTGCCCCACCGGGCAAACCCAGCAGAAGCCAGCCCCGCCCTCTCCCGCCTCCAGCCTCGCCAGAGGCAGATTCTGAGACCGGCGGGAACGTGTTCCCAGTGGGTGTGAACTTGGGCCGCTGCCCTGTGACTGGAATCCGGGAAGAAGGACAAAGGAACGTCTCACCCCGAGTAGCTGAGATTCCCATGAACCTGTAGGGGCAGCCCTCCTGATCCAATACCCGGTCCTGGCACTGCCCCCGGCAACACAAGTTGCCCTGCTGTGGCCGCTGTGCCCAGTTCCTGTGACCCTGGTTGGGTAAGGAAGGCAGACACAGTGACCCATCCGGGCATGCCCTCCTCTCCCAGTGTGCGCCCTCAGCCCAAGGGGCTCTTTCTTTCTTTCTTTCTCTCTCTTTTTTTTTTTCTTCTCTCTCTTTTTTTAGAATTTTATTTATTTATTAAAATATATTTTATTGATTTTTTACAGAGAGGAAGGGAGAGGGAGAGCTAGAAACATCGATGGGAGAGAAACATCGACCAGCTGCCTCCTGCACATCCCCCACCAGGAATGTGCCCGCAACCAATGTACATGCCCTTGACCGGAATCGAACCTGGGACCTTCCAGTCCACAGACCGACACTCTATCCACTGAGCCAAACTGGTTTCAGCCCGGGGGCTCTTTCTTGTTCTGATGCTTCCTCCGCCCTCTGTGGGGCCCCCTCCTTGATACCCTTTAAAATCGCTGGCAGATTTGACCCCGAGGTCGGTCTTCTGAGCAAGGTTCTCTCCACTCACAGATTCGAGGTTGCCCCCTGCCCAGAGCCGGGGGTCCAGAAGTCCAAGGCGCTCTGGCTCAGTTCCCACCAGCAGCAGGAGGCGGAAAGGACCAAAGCCAAGCCCAAGCCCCTGCTCATGCCTATCAACACGTTCTCCGGCATCGCCCAGTGAGCCTGAAGGGGCAGTGGACACGCTGAGTCTGAGAGCTGCAGGTTCACCAGGAAGGACACACTACCCACCGGTCCAAGTACTCACCCCAATGGCCAGAGCAAGGCCAGGCTGCCCGGGACTGGCCCCAGCCGGGAGCCAGCGAGTGCCTGGGGCATGAGGAGGCTGGCCGTGAGGTTGATGGAGGCCACACGAAGGCCCAAGGGTGCCCGGGCAAAGCTGTGCACACACAAGCCCAGCTCCTTGCACAGCTGCCCGCTCCTTCCAATTCCCGCCTCTCCCAGTCCAGCTTCCAGCTGGCCGTGAAGACCACAGTGACAGCTGCTGTTCTGGTCAGGGCCCCGTGTGCTGGGGGGAAATGGGAAGTAGACAAAGGCAACTACACCCCCTCTGCCTCCCACGTCTGCTCCCGTCCCTCTGCCCACCTCACCCACTCCCGGGCGTGTCTCGGTTGAGAGGAGAGTGTCGGATTCTATAAATGCACACTAAAGTTTCTGCTCTTCTCTAGCACCGGCGGAGTGCATATTTTAACAGGGACTGGGGGCAGGACTACCCTGTGAATCCACTCGGGCCAGGTAGTGTCTCCGGACCACACGGTGACGTAGGGACTCCCAACACAGAGGTGGGAATGCAGGCTAGTTTTGGAGAAAGCAGCGACTAGAGACAGCAAGAGGCTGGCTCTTGAGTTCAAACACTCACAGCCAAGGTAACACAGGGAAAGTCAGTGGCCCAGAACCAGTTCCCTCGCCCCCAGGACTAGCCGTGGGTGGGAAAGAAAGGAAGACAGAGAACAGAAAGGCGAGGCTTGAGCCCAATCCCATTCCGCTTGCAATGAAAGCAAGTTGTAGACCAAAGCCTGCCACGCATACACCCCCATGCCGAGACACACACACACACACACACACACACACACACACACACACCCCGCAACCAGATTCGGTGCTGTGAGCAGCCCTGTCCCCGGATGTGGCTTGTTAAGTAAATGTTAGCTCACCTCCTCTGGAGCGTGTACTCCCGAGTGGGACATCCTAGGTGCAGATTAGAACAAACCCTTTGAGAGTCTATCAGGCGTCTTCAAACTACGGCCCGAGGGCCACATGCGGCCCACAGAGGAGTCTGATCCGGCCCGCCAGGTTTTTTGGGCAGTGAGCGCAGCCGAGGTGTTACAGTAGGAATTAGTAGTCATATAGTCCGGCCCTCCAGCTCTCTGAGGGACCGTGATCTGGCCCCCACTTTAAAAAGTTTGAGGACCCCTGGTAGATGGATGCCTGGAGGAGGTGTGGAGTGCCACTCCAAGCCAACCCTCAGCGGCCAAGCCCTCTCTGGGGGTGGTCCCGACTGGAGAGGACGATGTCACCAGCCATGCCCCTTCCAGGGGGCACCCACGTCCCATGAAGCTGTTCTGAGCCCCGGGGACAACAATAGCTGCCTCTGGAGCTCTGACAGGACAGAGGTGGGCGATAAACAAGATCAGGAGTGATAAAGAGCCCCATGGATCTCCACGTGCTGGGCAGTGCCTGCTGGGGAGAAAGGTAAAGCAGGGAACGGAGGGTGCAGAGTCTGCGAGGGGCGGGGCTGGTATCTCAGTGAGGGCGGCCTGGAGCCGTCCCTGACAGTCACAGATGGTCCTGGCATTTGAGTAAATCCTGAAGAGGAGGAGGGAATTTGACTTCTATATTCACTCTCCGCCTCCCCGGTAGTTTCACTGGCCTGAAGCAGTTCAGGGTTCAAACTCAGGCTCCTGAGAGACTGAGAGACACGGAAGGGAACAGCCGGGGTCTCAGGGGCTCAGCTTGGAGCGCAGCACCTGCACACGTGGCAGGTGCGGGGGAGAGGCAGCAGTGCCCGCCAGTCTAGGTGGCAGGTCGCAGGGGAGGGAAGGGAGAGCCTGCAGTGTCCGGCCCAGGAGGACAGGAGTGAGGCAGGTGCGGGGCAGTAGTGCCCGCCAGCCTAGGTAGCAGGTAGAAGGGCGGGGGAGGGAGGGGAGAGCCAGCAATGCCCACAAGCCTAGGTGGCAGGTGCCAGGGGCGGGGGAGGCGAGGAGAAGCAGCAGTGTCCCGCCCAGGCGGACCGGACCGAAAAGGTGCGGCCGCAGGTGTGCGGGCCCCGCCCCCAGGTGCGCCGTCCCTCGGGGCGGGGCCACTTCCGGGCGGGGGCCGGACGTAGGGGCGGGGGCGGCCGTTGACCTGGTGACCGGGGCTCAGAGCGAGGCCGGAGGCGGGGTCCGCTCGCACGCACCTCGGCGCGAGTCTCCCTCCGTCCCTCCCCGGCCCGCCGCGCCGCCCCGCGCAGCCCCCCGCCCTCCGCGGCCCGGGTCCGAGGGCGCCTGGCGGGCAGCCATGAGCGCCAACCCGCAGTGGGACGTCAGCCGGGCGCTGGGCGTGGCCGGGCTCTTCCACTTGGTGTGTGGGCTCCGGGACGCCTCCGTGGCCCCGTTCCTGACCCTCTACCTGAGGCAGCTGGGCCTGGCGGCGCCCTGGGTGGGCATCCTGATGAGCAGCAAGCACCTGGCGGCCGCCGTCTGGGCGCCCTGCTGCGCCCTCCTGGCCCAGAGCCACCGGAGGCGGAGGCTGCGGCTGCTGCTCGCGGGCTCGCTGCTGGGCTCGGCGGGAGCCAGCCTGCTGGTGCTGCTGGTGCCGCCGCTGGACCGAGGCCCGGGGCTCCGCTCCTGCCACGCGGGCGCCGGCGAGACCCCCGCAACCCCGCCAGTGGAGGCGGCGCTGGCCGTGAACTTGACCTTGGCCCAGGAGCCGGGCTCCAGCTCCAGCCGCCTAGCCCAGAGGAGTGCTGGCATCGGCCACGCCTCCGGCTTCAGCAAAGGACCCGCAAAGGCAAGTGTCCCAGCGCCTTCCAGCCGCCTGCCGGGAAAGTCTGCGGGCTCCTCCGGGGAAGGAGCCTGGACCACACCCGGAGCCCTGCATCCTGTTCCGGCAGAGAGGGAAGCTTCTCCCTGGGAAGGTGCCTTCCAAGGGGTCAGCACCGCCCTCCCTCTGCTCGCTGGGGGCCCAGCCAATGAGTCCTCCACCAAGGGGGACTCGGGGACCCTGGGCCTGTCCCTGGAAGGGCTGCGGCGGACTTTCATCCCCTGCCTGGTGTCCTTGGTGTTCTGGGAGCTGCTGGCGGCCCCTCTGGAGCAGGTGGCGGACGACAGCCTCTTCGAGTACCTGGACTTTGTGGACGCCACGGACCGGCACCGAAACCTTTGGGTCTGGAAGCTGCTGGGCACGGCGGTGGGTGTGTGCGGCGCGGCGGCCCTGGTGGAGCAGCTGGGCTGCTCCCCGAAGACCGGCGCCCCCCGGGGCGCGGTGTCCTTCTACGGCTACGCGCTGCTCAGCGTCCTGGCCTTGCCCGTGAGCTCCGTGTTCCCCGTCCCCGTCGGCAGGCGCTGGGAGCCCAGCTACAAAACCAGCAAAGCGCTGTCTCTGGTGGAGGGCGACCCCCGCCTCATCCTCCTGGCCATCACCGTCTTCCTGGTAGGAGCCGTCACCAGCACCGTCCAGAACTTTCTGTTCTGGCACATGCAGGACCACGGCAGCAGCGAGCTGGTGATGGGTGCCTCCGTGGCCCTGGGCTTGCTGGGGGAGGTTCTGCTGCACCCGTTCAGAGCCGGGCTGCTTAGGAAACTGTCCAGGCTGGGGGCCATCGGGCTGGGGCTGGGCTGCCTGGCGGGGCAGCTGCTGTACTACTCCTTCCTCTGGAGCTGGTGGGCCGTCCTCCCCGCGCAGGTCCTGAGCGCCCTCAGCCACGGGGCCCTGTGGTGGGCCGTGGGCGCTTCCTTAGAGGACCTGGCCACCCCCGGCACGGAGAGGCCTCTGAGGGCCATGTTCCAAGGCCACTTCTACGGGGGCGGGGCCAGCCTGGGCAGCTTCGTGGGGGGCTTCGTGGTGAGGCGCTTCGGCCTGGCTGTGCTCTTCCAGGCCAGCTGCGTGGTCCTGGGGCTCTGGCTGGCCCTCTTCCTGTCCGTCCAGCCCAGACTGCCCGAGGAGCAGAAGGTCAGCTACTCCAAGCTGCTGTTGGTGGAGGCGAGTGACACGAGCGACTCCGAGCAGGGGACCGAACGGGACTGGCTGGTGAAGGCCAGTCTGGGAAGGAGCCAAAGGACTGGACGGAGCTCAGCCTGCTGAGGACAGAGCCCCCGAGGCCTGCCGGGGGCTCCTCGGGCCTCGGGGGAGAGAAAGCACGTCGATGCGGGAGCCCCACGGGTTCCCCTCCTTGTCTGATGGCAGTTCGGTTTTGTAAACGGTCATGGAGCAAAAAAACATTGGCTCAAAAACCACGTTCCCTCTGTGGTCACTGCCTTTTGGCCTGTGAGGTTTGCCAGAGCTTTACTAGTTCGGATCTGGTGCTGCTGACTCCGGCCGTGGCGGGATCAAACCGGCAGTGCCAGGGGGACCATGGGGCCTGCAGGGTTCCGGCAGCAGAGGGAGCAGCTGGCTGCGATATGTCCTGGGCATTCCTGCAGCCCTAAAGGGCACGCGCCTGAGCCTCTGAAAGCCATGCTGGGGCAGGTGAGAATTGTAATGAAAACAGAACTCTCCTCCCTCCCCCACTGATGCACAGATGCCCACGCTCAGACTCAGGTTCCTAAGTTTCCAATGAGAGAAGATGATGGAAATGTAATATGTCCCGGGGAGAGGGGGTGGGAGTTCACAGGTGTCCATTCTTACTCTCAAATGTGAGCGTCTCCAGGGATGGAACCCTTAGAACTGCCTTCCATTCTTATGTCAGAGCAAAGGCAATGCCTTTGGACTCGCGTTTTACACACTCCCCTCCCTCCCCCCGCTTTGATTAGTGCGCGGCGGCCTCTGCGGGGTTCAGATGCCACAGGTAGTCCACTGGCACCTGTGCCTAAGCACTTAGTGAGGTGCTTTTACAAACCCTTCCCCGTCCTAGAAAACGGCCCTCTATTCCAGGGGCCAGCCCCAGAGCCCAATTCTTCTCTTATAATCAGGTAAGTATAGGACAGTTTGTCCGCAAACTGCGGCTCCCAAGCCACAGGAGGCTCTTTGGCCCCTTGAGTGCGGTTCTTCCACAAAATACCACGGCCTGGGCGAGTCTATTTTGAAGAAGTGGCGTTAGAAGAAGTTTAAGTTTAAAAAAATTTGGCTCTCAAAAGAAATTTCAATTGTTGTCCTGTTGATATTTGGCTCCGTTGTCTAATGAGTTTGCCGAGCACTGGATAAGATATTGGATTTAGAAGGGGCCTCAAACGCAGAAAATGTCTCATAGCTGGGGAAGGGGACATACCCAGAATGTCCAATGGATTAGTCTTGGTTCTAGCAACTTCGTTCTTTTAAAAGTCTTCCTAAAGGTTCAAATAACCAACAAAAAAATAACTTCTACCTTAAGTAATTAGGAATTCATTTGTCTTACAGAAGAAGTCTAGGGTTAGGCAGTCCAGAGCTAGTACAGCCGATTTGCGATGTCACCGGGGACCCAAATCTTTTCATCTCTGCTTCATCCTCAGCTTACAGGCCTCCCTCCCACATTGTTCACTCAGCCCAGTGGCCACTGCACCTGCGAGCCTCTCATCCATGCTCCGGGCAGGGAGGAGAGGGCGAAGGGCGCCACAGGATTGAATGCCTACATCAGGAAAACAAAACCTTCCCAGAAATTCACAGCATCCGTCTGCTCACGTGGCCACCCTGAACTGCAAAGGCGTATGGGAGGTGGAGTATTTTCCAGTGAGCACCATTGCCCTCAATTCAGACACCCTCACTTCTGACTGACTGGCTACAGGTTGGAAGGGGCCCACTCCCCACTCAGGTTCCATCATTCATTAGAGCCATTCACAGGATTCCGGAAAGCTCTACACTCGTGATTATAATTTCATTATAACCACAGAACACAGGTCAGAACCGCCTGAAAGAAGAGAT